TGTGTTGCATGTGCATTTAGGATTTAATTTTACAATTTATGATTTAATTAAGCAAGTTTGTTTTACAAAAATAGAAAAAATCACAAAAAATATATGCTTTGCATTTTTAGTATTTAATGTCCGAATTGTGTAATTTTATCTTTATTTGATGTTTAATTTCGTGTGATAGTTATTTTTAAGAGTCAATATTTTAAGTTAATTGTCGATTTTATAATTTAATTAGGACTTTTAGTTTTATTGTTGAAAAGAAAAATTGAAATGAATAATAATTGAAATAAATAAGAAGAGGAAGATTCAGTTGGGCCAATTTGGCCAAGCCCAAATCCTTACAGCCAAACCTGGCCAAAAAAAAATAAAAAATAATAGCCCAATACCCGTCCCAATCTAGTCCATCTCAGGGGCAAACCAAACGACGTCGTTTAGTAGCGCTCAATCTGGGCCTTTGATCTCAGCTGATCAACGGTCCAGATCAACTCCTCCGTCACCCGACCCGTTCCCATCCAAGACCGATCCGGTCTCGAGGGTAAACGAAGCGACACCGTTCCACTTAAATGAGCAATCCAGGTCGTTGATCTCATCAGATCGAACGGCTTGGATCCAATCCCCACGTACGTATATAAGTCCTGCAAACGAACCCCGCCCCCAAACCAAGCCCCCCCTCTCATTCTCTCCCAAACCTCGTCTCTTTCAGAGACGAGGAACCCTAATAGCCGCCACCCTATCCCTTCACCGTAAACCCGGCGGCGCCGGCTCCGATGGTCGTGAAAATAACACCCCTGAACCTCCTAACCACCCTCAACACGATTCCATACTCCATTAACCTCGAATCATACCCCAGCTTCTCGAATCTTCGATCGAAGACCCCGTCCCAAACCCTAGTTTGTCCACTTAACCCCAAAATCACACCCAATAATCCCCTTGACCTCCTCGTCGCTAATCCCTAACTAGATGGGCTCGAATCCGAGTAAAAACTCATCGAATGACGGATCTAGGGCTCGACAGTTCGAGATTGTTTTGAAGCTGTCAGGGTCGAACGGTTTCTGGTTAGTATTATAAGTCTATTTCTGATGAAATAGACGTATAATACTAACTGGAAATCAAGTTTGAAAGGGCATATGGTTGAAATCCGAGAAAAGAACAGTGAGTTCTTCTTAACTTCTTTTTCTTTTTTCTATGTGTTTGTTTGTCTGTGTGATTAGTCGTTTCTTTAGGGTTTTTAGTTTAAGTTAATCCAGTATATATATTCTATTTCTTCTTCTGATTTTGGTTAGATTAAATATTCCAATGCTGTTTGAGTAGTTCAATCAACTCTTGGTTTATCTAAATTAGGCTCATTATAATTCGTCTATTGTCCGTTATTTTCTTTCTTCTCCATCAGTTTATGTTTTGTCGATTAATAACATAGGTTATAAATAGTTTCGTCGATTAGTTCGTTCTTGTTTGTAAACCAATAAGCTCGTCAAATGGTTGTTGTGTATGCTTGATCTGTGGACACTTAGCTTCAGGGCATTGTCAATAGGCTGACAATGAACCTGCATTCATGTTACCTGCATTCATGTGCATTTTGATTCAATTTTTAATTTCAGTTTAAATGATTCTGTTGAGTTCTGTGTGGTGATTTAAATTCAGTTCTTTTGTTTCAATTGGAATTCAACCTTAGTCATTTAGCAGTGAATAAGTTTGGTTATAGCTGTTAGTCAGATTTAGTTTTTAAATCTTTGATAGCTTGAACAGATTTCAGAATTAAAAGTTTTAATACAGTTGAATAATTGTATTAGGGGCAGTAATATTAAGGGTATTCAGGGGTGATTTGGGAATGTAACAGTTAGGATAATATTTTTATGTTAGTGTTTTGTTAGTGGGATATTAATGTCTTTAAATTAATATGGTAATGGGGAACAAAAGGGAATGAGCGGCTGAAAATAAGGAAAAGTTTTCCTTAGTGAGATTTTGAGTGGAAAAATTTAGATTTTAGTGGGAGTAGGAGGTCGGGCAGTAAATTTGAAAGGAGGGCAGGTCTGTATAAGAGGGTGGAATGAGGTCTGTAGAAAGGGACTGGAAAAAATTTTCTGAGAGCTAGGTGAAGTGGGATAGCTACTATTTTTTATTGCCTGGTTTAGGATCTGAAATAGGTAGAACTTTCTTCCTTTTACTTCTGCTCTATACTTGGGGAAGTTGATAGCTGCTGGTTATTTGTTGCTGCACTGCTGTTGCAACTTCTGTTTGCTACTACTGCTGCTGCTGACTCTCCTCTTCTTCTTCTCGTATTGTCAATACCAGGTGCATGCTTCGAACTCCCTTGATGTAGTTCCTTGAAGTTCACAAAAAATGGAAATATTCACAGATTTGTGTTCATTTGTAGGCTGCCTATTGTTTACAATTAGATGAATTGTTAGTTAATTATACCTAGTCGGTATTGGTTATGTGTTTTGTATTATGTGAACAGTGGAGACATACGGATTGTAATTAAGAGCTAACTAAACTGCTATGCTCATGTTGACATGCTTTTAATTTACAAATTTAAACTGATATGCTCATGTTGACATGCTATTAGTTTACAAATTTGAGCTGCTAGGTTGTCAGTTCGCCTCACCTAAACATGATTTGAGTTAGAGTTTGTGGTTATAACTGCTGCGTCGGTATTTTAGGAGTGAGCTTACTTAAAGAATGATTTTGTAATTGTTGGCATTAGAACGTATTCAGCCATTGTTTAGCATATATGTTTGTTGGTGATCTTAAGGCAGAACTCAATTGTTATAAGGTTTTGTTGGCCTTCTTGATTAGTTGGAAGTTTGATTCCTATTATGGCTCCACCTTGGTGACTGATTGAAATATGTTTGTGATTTATTGCTTACTGCTAATTGACAAAGAGTACAATGTGTTGCTTCTATTTCTATACCATGTACTTTCTAGAAGTCCAGGCAACAAAATCCATTAAAAAGAAAATATAACAACCCACTTCTTTGTGCTTGAATACTAGTTGATTATTGTTATAAAAAGCTCATGTCTAATAAGCGACGAAAACAGAGGCGAACGAACTTGAGATTTTGAATGATGTCATATAATATTTGTTTGGTTGCGCTGATTTTGGTTCCGAATTATTCTGTTAATGAGCCGTTTCGATAATTGTTTAAGCCATAAGGCCATTGTGAAACAAGGAATGTATAGCCTTGCAACTCATTTGGGCCAGCTGCCAGCCCAATGCCATTTCAGCTGAACGCTTAGCTTCAATTTAACACAAGCCCAATAGTTATTAAGTTAGCTTGAACATTAGCCTAAAAATAATTAGAATTCCTTTAAGCTCTTCTTAATTAATTAGACTCTTACGATTGGTTTGAGATGTGCCATATTAGCCAGGCCAACAATTATGGCCCTCACTTAATTAACTTTAATCCTTTAGAAATCAAGGTGTGCCATTTAGTGAATTTTCCATGGCCTCGCAAAGTTAAAAACGCGTAGTGGCTTTTTAAGGCGATTTTTAATAAAGTTATTTTCGTAAAATCGGGTGCGCATTTATGTGACCCAAATCTAAATCTCGACAAAGTCGAAATGTGACATTAATCACGGGTACATTGATTGTGACGTGGTTCGAGATGCATTTCCACGACGTTGCAAATTCCTTTTAAAAAATAATGAATGAGATGAGCCTCGACAAACAAAAATACACAAGCTGCGGGGCCCTCTATACGCGTTGGTAAAGTTACTTAGACTTCAGGATGGGCCGTTTATCAAAATTTCATGGCCCTACCCAAAATAATGACACGCTAGTCGCTTTAGGCGCGTATTTAATAATGTTATCTTCTTAAACTCGGGTGCACATTTATGTGACCCAAATCCAAATCTCAACAGAGTTGAAATGTGTCAATAACCGCGGGTGCATTGATGTGACGTGGTTCGAGATGTATTTTCACGATGTTGCAAATTTTCGGTAAAAAATAATAATAATAAAAGCGGTACACAGTTAAAATTTGCACATGGATTTAACATGTATCAAAAATCAGATAAATAAGCCGAATATGACAGTTGAGCGACCGTGCTAGAACCACGGAACTCGGGAATGCCTAACACCTTCTCCCGGGTTAACAGAATTCCTTATCCGAATTTCTGGTGCGCAGACCGTTAAACAGAGTCATTCTTTTCCTCGATTCGGGATTAAAACTGGTGACTTGGGACACCATAAATCTCTCAAGTGGAGACTCTGAAATAAATAAATAAATCTCATTTCGATTGTCCTTTAATTGGAAAAACTCCCTTTACGCCCCTTTGCGGTGGCGCGAGTAAAAAGGAGGTGTGACAGGCCTTAAGTGCATGAAACCATTAGTTGAAAACTTCAGACCTATTTGCCTTTGAGTGCATTTGAATTGCAATTCTTTCACTTTAGACTATTTTTTTTAACTTCAAACTTATTGGCCTTACGTGTAGGAAAATGTTTGTTGCACTTCAGGCCGTTAGGCCTTAAGTGTATCTGAATTGCAATTTTTCACTTTAGACTTACTGGCCTTAAGTGTGTGAAATCATTGGTTCCACTTCAGACCTATTTGGCCTTAAGTATATTTGAAGTGCAATTTTTTCACTTTAGACTAATTTTTTTTAAACTTCAAACCCCATAAGTCTGAAGTTGATCGTAAAGTGGGTAGGCTTACAAAAATAAATTCAAAGTGAGTATAATGTCAATTGTGACTCCAAAACCGGATATAGATACAAAACCCCTCAAATGGTTTTACGGCTTTTGCGTTCAGTAATTTTCATACATTTTTTCTTTGTTTCTTGCTTTTCATAAGACTAGTATTTGTAACCGCGCGTTGCGCGGAGATTTATGAAAATAAAAAATAGTAACAAAATTTACTTGAATAATATGGTAGTCACAAAGAAGCATGATAAAAATTCGGTTTTATAATATTTATTGGCTTGTTATATATTATGAAATTTTTTGTCTTTATAATATTTGAGTGCATAATCCACACATATTGTATGTTTCAAACAAAGAGAAAATCACGATATAGCATAAATAACATTTACTTAAAGCTTCAAACTAATGCAGTAAAGCAAATTTTTGGGGCTTTACATTCTTAGATAAGTTTTTGCCCACTTGCGCGAAGAAATAAAAATGTTAGTGACCTGTAGACTATTGAAAATTTTAAGAATAACTTATAGACTTGATGTCAATCAAATTTACCTTGGCATCTCTATTTCTTGCTCTTGACCAACGCGGTATTCTGTTTTGTGCTTGTCAAGATGAAAAAATAAATAAAATAAAAATGTGTTGAGTTATGCAAATGTAATAGTTTTCACCTGTAAAAAATTTAAAAAGGTATAAGAAAAAATTGAAATCAATACAATTTTAATTTTACAGAAAGTAAATCCAAATACACACCAACTGTGCTCAAATTGTACTACATAATTTGCTAATTTTTGTCTCGCCCCAAAGTTTTTGCATACTTTTTGGAACTTTACACCTACCTCATGTTTTGGGTTTCTACTATATACCAATAGCTGTAATAATTGGTTGTTGTTTCTTTAAAGATCAGGATTTGACAAACTTATCATTTTGGGAATGTCAACCAAGTGATTCTACCGTATAAGCTTGTGAGAGTGAATTTGATGCATGAAAATAAACTTGCATTTTGAATAAGCATTTTATGTCCCTTAAAAGCACAAGTTTCAGAAAGAAATGTCAATGGCACATACTTAAAGCATATGCTGAATCGCAAATAACTGATTTTCACCAAGAGTCTAGAGGATTAAGGAATATGTATTTGAATTTAATAAGGATGGACATGTATTTGGATATAATGTTGAAAAGGATCGCTTGTGACACAAATTGACATCTGATAAAAAAATAACAATATAATAAATACATTTAATAGAAAAATTCATAGAAAATAGTTGAGGCTCTTTTGTGCTACACCCAATAGGATAGGCATCCTCACAGTTAAGGGAATTCAAGAAAAGAAGGTCAGAATGGCTTCTTAAGCCTTTATCCATACAAAAAATTAGCACTGGATTTTACTAACCTGATAGTATGAATTCTATTTTTCATGTCATTTTTGTATCATAAATGTACAATTGTGAAAATTTTGGAGTAGATCCATCTAATTGTAATAAGTTTTCGAGTTGATGATAATTCTGCTTAGACACTCTGAATGTTCTCGGTCCCTTCGTTGGTTGACATAAACATCAACTTTTCCTCCCATTAGTGTAGAAAAAATTAAATCACAAGTTTGAATCTTAATCTGAAGATTATTCTACCAAAATAATGTCTTAATCAAAGGCAATCACTAAGAATTCTATTGGATTCCAACTACATTAAATTATATTTTACAAATTTATGTTAATCTATTTTAAATTATTCAAAAGATTTGAGCACTTATCAAAACAACTTAAATGGTCTTTTGAAGTAGCAATTTTAAGACTTAATGTTTTATATTGCATAATGAGTTGAAACCGTGTTCTCGTGAACCAACTGGCCTTTACCCTTGCCGTGTTTTGTATTTAAAGATGAACAACTTGCAAAGTATGCGATAAAGAAATTAAGATTTTCATTTAACTTAAGATTCTAGCTCTTCCAAATAATTATAGATAATAATTAGATAGAAATTAAGAAATAGGCAAACTATTTCGTAAATATCGTAGGGGAAGGGACTTTGGTTTATATGCAAGTGGTTGTGACTTGTGATGAACAACAACAACAACTACCACCCAATATAATCCCACAAGTGGGGTCTGGATAGGGTAGGATGTACGCGGTCTCACCCCTATCCTAGAAGGCGCAGAGAGATTGTTTCCGATAGACTCTCGGGTAAAGAAGGCGAAGACTTGTGATGAAGAAACAATAACTTATTCTGGACTTGACAACTGTTCATGATTATCACAAAATTAAGGGAATCATGTTATAACGCAAACTTGAATTAATGATTAACAACCTTATATGTAATTTGAAACTGACCATTTATAACTTATTATATCAGACAAAGGAGGAACTGTTTTATCCTTTTCGAGACCATTCCCTCTACCAATTGTGAGACAAACATTCTCCGTAAAATAAAAAATATTGATTACGCATTCTTAAAAAATGAGCTTGAACGTGAATACAATTAAGAGAAACTATATTTTTTCTTAATCAAGTTTCGGTTGTTCTTGTTAGGGACTAAAACACAATTCAAGTTAAAATCTTTCTATTACAAAGTTCTTTTCCTTTGTAAATATTGCTATAGTTACAAAGCACTTAAGTATTGCTATAGTTACTGATAATTAAAATCGAGTAACAGAAACCTCGAATTTGCGTACCTGTTAACAACAAAGGAAGATTTTGCAGAATCTGTTCATTTGCCCGAATCCAATTTCGTCTCTCTTGTAAATGAAATCCTTGTTCACGAACTAAATACCTTGTCTTTGTTTATCACACTGTGTTTCTTTTCTTTTAGGGAGAATCATTTCGTCGTATCTTTCTCTGTTGAGGAAGGAAGATATATATAGGAGAGAGATAGATTTCAAGAAAGGAAAAACTGCTGCTCTTACAATTGCACGTTCCCATTATGTTTTTAACGTGCAACAGTTTTTTTATTTATCTATATTTAACTCCCTGGGTAACCTCTTTTAGGTTTTATCTCCTCTAAATCGGTATGGTTAGTCCATATGGGCGACCCGTGACCCAAACCCAATATCCAACAGTTACAAAGCACTTATATGCCTACATGGTAAGAGTTTCGGTCTACCTCCTTCTGCTTGGGAAAATGTTAGACATAAATTTTTGTGGTTCATAATTTCTGTCATAACCTGGCAATATAGAACATATCTAAAAAGTACTACAGAAGAAAAATTTAATGTAAACCAAACAAAGAAAAAAGAGGGCAAAAGTTCATACCATTGTTATCGGATGAAAAGAAAAAAGTAGTTAAGACTTTCCGTAAATCTATTTTATTTTTCTTACAATTTTTTTCTGATCTTCCATGTCAAATTGCAAACTGAACTTAGTTTGAAGTTTTATTGTGCTTGAAAAAGAAAAGCAGTTGAATCCACTTTGTCTAAGAAGTTATAGAGCCTGTGGAATAGTTATTTGCTTGCAAATAAAAAATACATAAAAATTATTTTAAGAGATAGTAATGATGATGAAAGAACTAACCTTTGGTAATTGAAGTTTTTTTGCGCCGTTTCTGATTAATGTATCTGCTTGATGTGGAGGGGGGTTGTTTGATTCTCCATGGAGAAGAATCCGTGAAAGTGGATTACTATGTCTTTTTGAAAGAAATGAGTAGGAAGATGAAGTGGTTTCATGATTTTGACAGATAAAGTGGGAGTTCAAAAAAGATCGACTTTTGTTGGGAAGAGGAAAACGGTTTTTACTAAGCAGTTTGAGTTTGCGATGTCAGAGCATCGTGGGTCTGAAGCGCGAAAACGATAGAAATTGATATTTATTAGGTCAAAGACGCGTAAGGAGTTATATTATGTGTTGGTTTCAGAATAGTATTTTATTTTTTTGAAATTCAAATTAAAGAAAAAACTATTTTTACCTAATTTAACTAATATTTCCTAAAATTTCCACATGGCATTTTCTTAACGCGACACATGGCAAATTCTCATGGTTGACTTCTTTCCTTTTAATAATAGATAGATATCTATGCTTCAGTTTCGGTTAGAAAAATCAGATTGGTTCCTATTATAAAATTGATAATAAAAATAGGAATTTTCATAAAACACTACAATTTAGAGCCTAACTACCATAAGTAATTATAATTTACCTAATTATCATTCGTAGCTAATATTCAATTGTTATCATCTTATTCACATGAATACAACCAAGATGAAATACAGAAAAATAGAATGCTCTCGTTGAGTCGAACTCAAGACCTCCACTTACTAAGTGGGTGCTCTAACCAACTGGGCTATGAGAGCTCGATGCTATCTTGTTTTAGTTCAAAATAATTAATCTCTTGTTTCAGCACTACATGTGGATTTGCTATAAAATTTAAAAATCTCTAAGTGTATGCATGTAAGTGAGTCTCTATTCGATATATACAAGAATACAAATGGTAATTTTCTGAATGTATAGCTATAAATGATAAATATAATGTATGTTTTTGAGTCGCGTAAGTTTTCCTACTAAAAACTGTTGATACATGGGATGAGGGAGCATAGCACAAATGCATGTAGCAATGATTGTTAATTTGGAAAATTGAATCATAACAATAAAACTGAAGTATGAAATGTATAGCATATACTTCTCAAATCTTACTTATAGGACTCTCTTAACCTTTTTTAGGAGCCAAAGTTTTAATTCAATTAAGACTGTATAACACTTGTAAAAAATTTAATAATGAAAAATTAAGATTGGTTGTACTTTTTATATAGTTTTAAAAACGTAAAATTTTATAATTTATTCTTAAATTTAATGTTTACTCTTGTACTTGTAATAAGGTATTTAGTTCAAAGTTGTTTGTACCTGGAATAAAAAACACAACTTATTTATACATACATATAGACTGTGACTGCAGTTATAGTTTTGTTGGTGTCAAATTGCGCCGCCGGGGGATAATCAATGGAGTCACTGTTACTCTCTTCCCCAGCCTCCTCTTCTTCCTCTTTGTCAATCTCCCCCATTTCCTCTCCAACCAAACACGCCCTAATTCTTCCTAAATCCCAAAACCTCTCCTTCTCTTCCCCTAACTCCATTGCTCGCCTAGCATTGCTCACCTGCGCCGCGCAGCAGATGAACAACTCTCCACCACCCTCTACGGCGGCTGCAAAGGAGGTGAAATTATGGGGCGGCCGTTTCGAGGAGAGTGTTACAGATGCCGTTGAGAAGTTCACTGAGTCCATTTCCTTTGATAAGGCTCTTTATAAACAGGATATTATGGGTAGTAAAGCTCATGCCTCTATGCTCGCTAAACAGGTTAAATTTTTAACTTTTCTTTTAATGTGTATTGCCAAGATTGATTTTTTTACTGTAAAAGTTGATAAATTTGTTGGATAATCAAGTGGGTTACATAAATTATAGTATATTTTTCTTTTAATGTGTATTGCCAAGATTAATTCTTTTATTGTTTAAGTTGATTAATTTGTCGGATAATCAAGTGTGTTACTTTGTAATTTATCTGGATTTACGATAAAAGAATCAATCTTTAGCATTTTTGGGTAGTAAAGCTCATTCATCAATGCTCGCAAAACAGGCTAAATTTTCTTCTTCTTTTTTTCTTTTAATGGATACTATCGAGATTGAATTTTTTTGTTAAAGTTGATTAATTTGTTGGATAATCAAGTGGTTTATCGATGTTGTGTTCTCATTTTCTATTTTAAAACATAAAAGAGCAGCAGTTGAGTACTATAAATACGTAGTTTTTGTATGTTTTTCTTCCTTTAGCGGAAGTTGTGAGCTAAAAGTAGAAGAGACTATCAATGAAGTTTGACGAGAACCATGAAGTCTCGGGTTTAAATGCTAGCAGAGAACAAAGAACACTTGGTGGTTTTATTCACATCTGCCTACGCTTGGTGGACAAACTTATCGGCTACCTGTGCCGGTGGGAGGAATAGCAGGTATCTGGTAGAATAATCGAGATTTGCACAAACTGGCGCAATCACCATCGTCATCCTAAAAGAGAAAATGATAGAAGAGGCTGACAATAATTTCTGTTTATTGTACAAGTTGATTGATTTGTTGGAAAATCAAGTGGGTTACTTTACAACATCCATAATTTAGCTGTTGAGTACTACAATTACCAGTTTATGTATCTGTATGTTATCCCTTTGTTTTCCTTCTTTAGGGAAGGTTTGAGCTAATAATGGATCAAGTGAAGAAGTGAAAAAAGAGAGATGTTTTTACTTTGGCGGTTGGGGGGTGGACGAGCTGGTTAATTGTGTTATTTTATTTCAGTGAGGGGTAAAGGGGTCTTAATATGCATGCAAATTTAGTAATTTACTTGTATGTTGCAGGGATTGATGAGTGATAGTGATAGAGATACTATCCTAAAAGGTCTTGAAGAGATAGAGAGGCAAATAGAGGCAGGTGAATTCTTATGGAGGACGGATAGAGAGGATGTGCATATGAACATTGAAGCAGCGCTTACTGATTTAGTTGGTGAACCTGCCAAAAAGCTACATACTGCCAGGAGTAGAAACGATCAAGTTGCTACTGACTTTCGCTTGTGGTGCCGTGATGCTATTGACAGCATCATTTCACGCATTAGGAATCTTCAGGTCATTTGTTTTTCTTGTCTGTTTTGTCAATTATTATCTTTTGGAGGTCCAATAGGAACACTATTAAGTTCAACATATAGCCATGAGTTTGTATGCTGTATATGGTCAGCAACCATGAGTTTGTATTCTCATGATTCTTCATATTGTGGGAAGAAATGGTGAATTGGCAGCAAAATTGAACAGTTTGTGTGGTGCTGAAAAGTTATTATGCACTCATGTTTTTATTGCAACATAACCTGCAGACGGCACTGGTTAAACTAGCTCTCCAGAATGAGGGTCTTATTGTTCCTGGATATACTCATCTGCAAAGGGCACAACCTGTTCTGTTGCAACACCTTCTCTTAGCATACGTTGAACAGGTAAGTAGAATTGCCTATCAATTATCATTTATAATGTCATATACTTGCTACATTTATCATCATAGGAAGCCTGAGTAAGTGAAGAAGTGTTGATAGATCGATTACTTGAAACTCTTGTTTATGCATGAAAAGAGATTTTTTTTTTTTAAATTCTTGCTTGTGACAAGTGGAGCCTCAGACAATACCACGAACATTTACATCCATTTCCCTTCGCAATTTATTGTCTTTTTACCTCACAGACTTCTATTTATTTTGAAATAGTTAAAACCTGTCCATTTGAAATTTTGAATTAGCTTGCTGACAGAGTATCAGATCTTTCAAAAAGAAAAATCCATTTTGCATTGACAGTACCACGTGGAGCATTTTCTCCTACTTGTTTGTTGAGGGCCTTTTTCCTCCATTGGCAAGTGTACCTCTCACTTGCTTGTTCCAATGAGGCCCTCAACATAATTGCAGACTAGAATTTCTGTGAAGGAAGTGTCTGGTCGTTTCTTGATGATGTTGTGCAAACTGTTTCAACCATTGTTTTTTAGCTGTTTTCCTTTTCTTTCTCTCTTTTTACCTGTTTTTCCTTCTAATTTTTTTTTTGGATATTTTTAAAGACATTTGTTTTTCCCCTCTCCTAAGGAGAAGATCCTTTTGAGTGCCAAATGGTAGAAATATCACTTTGCTGATTGTATATGTCACTGCTTTCTGTACTTGCTTTGTTGTTCTTCCCTTTGGATCTCATGTGAGCCGGCTTGTTCAATAGCTTCATTTAGCTGTGCTGGAGTTTAAGAATATTAAACCTACATATTGCTGACGACAGAAGAATGATTTCTTTGTAGCTTGAGCGTGATGCTGGCCGCTTGTTAGATTGTAGAGCAAGGCTGAATTTCTGCCCTCTAGGTGCATGTGCATTAGCTGGCACTGGTCTTCCCATTGATAGGTTTATGACTTCTGATTCATTGGGGTTCGCTGCGCCAATGAGGAACAGGTACTAATGTATGATAGATATATTGCATCTAATTACATGCTTAATAGCAATGGAACTTGCAACCTTTATTGAACCTCTACTTTGTAGTTACAGACGTACTTTTCTTTCTCTTTCCTTTTCTTCAGAAGGGTTGCTGCAGGGGGTGGGGAAAGAGAAGGAATTGTACTGTACTAATCTTTATACTTAGGGAATCAAGATATAACTGATAGTGGCCTACCGAATTTGGCCCTGATAAGCTAAAGTCCCAAGCTAATTGACGTCAGTAAACTAATGAGCAATGGGAAAACCCAGTGTGCTTCCATGAGGATTTTTGGAAGAAGAAACACTTAATGTTACAGTGTTGTCTCGTGCTTCTGTTGTAATATTTGCTCTTATCCTCTGTAAATCCTCTCTGTCTTTTGACTTTGTTTAATAGACTTGACGTAGTACCCTTTTTTTTGGGTAACTAAATTGTATCAATCACCAAGTAACCAATAAGTATCCACAGCTAAGCTACAAGCCAGCTTGCTGTCAAAAATGGATAATCAGACTCTATTACACTATTACACTGCTATGCACTTTTTCCAGCTAAGTAAAAGAATATCATATAAAAAGCACTACTTTAATATTCCGTACCTAGAAAGAATAGAAAGCTACTTTTTAGCTCTCAGGCACACTCCCCGAGGAGCCTGAGTACAAGAATTTTTAGCTTTCCATGAACACCATTAGACATCCCTCGAAATTCCGACCACTCCACTGAATCTTTTCCGACGAAGCAGCCTCCACGCGCCGCCACGCGAGGCCCTTTCCGGCGACCTTTCCCCCACGCGCCGGGCGCGTGAGCCAATTTCCGGCAGCTTTTCAAAAAAAAAATTTCGGACAGCTTCCTTTATTGCTAATTCCGACCAGATTGTTACAATTTTTTCAGATTTCCGACGACTTTTATTTTTGCGGGAGCGGGAAACTTCTGTTTTGGCCCAAATTTCAGTTTCTTTTACCTCAACAGCTCAACTGTGATGACCATCAAATACTTCTTATAATTTCCATAACCTGAACAGCTGGGTTGTACAATATGGGAGACAACCAAATTTATTTCAACGCAGGATTCAAATCTTTTGACATCACCAGATGGAATTCCAACAAAGAGGT